TATAAATATATCTGTTTCGTATGTTGAATTATTTGAGTGGTAACATGGAAATAATTTATAGCATGATGTGTTTAACATTATCACTGATTAAGTATAGCCAGTTTTAATTTAATTAATTCCTAGTCAATTAAGGATCTATGCTTAGTTGATAAGTAGTTATATAAGCTGCAAATCCAATTTACATGCCATAATTTTGTGTGATCCTTAACTTGATGATTCACTGAAAAACCACTGGATTAACAATCCATGTGAGATGTTTGAATCTAAACACTCTATTCCTTTGAGAGTGGTCATTGTGTATTGGTGTTTTGAATGCTGCATTCTGTTTGGATGACTAATATGTTATTTCTGTGTGATTGGGGCATTGTTTCTGAATGTTTAGCCTAGAGCCAAAAGCCTTACCCTTTGATTATATCCCTTGGTCCCTATATTTGAGCCTGAGGCCTTTCTTTTCTGATCATGTATCCTGATATTATGAGCCAATTTCCTTGTCCACCCTATATAGTTGTTTTAGTATTTAGCTACTTCTCATTAGCTCAGAAATACAATAAGCTAAATGAGGCAAAGGGGAATTGGTTGTAAAAAATTAGAAAAAGAGAAGAAGGAAAGGGGATCAAGAGGGAAACAGTGATTCTACAAAAAGAGTTCTCTGTTCTGTTTTTTGTAAAAAAAAAAAAAAAGAGAAGAAAAAAGAAGAAAAAGAAAGGAGATCTCTGAGCTTGAATCTTTGTAAAAAAGGGGAAGAGGCAGAAAGTAAAAAAGAAGTTGAACAAAAGGGGGAAGAGAGTTACTAATTTCCCTTTGTCTTGTTTTAAAAAAAAAATCAGAAAGAGCTAATGAGGACTAGTTAGACACTAAGGGTTAGCTTAATTAGCCAAGTGACTAGAAAAACAAAGATCCTAGCCCTGCCTCATTACAAGCATTAAAGACCTTTTGATGGAAGCAGCATATTGGACTTCAAATTTCTAAATGGTAGTGTAGATTGGAAGCATTCATGCATAATGACAATGAGTGACCTCCCTTATAAACAGGAGAGAGTGTGATTGATTGAATGTATCTGGAAAGGAATTCAGTGGAATTTCAATTGAATCATTTTAAGTTAAGGGTTGCAATTAAATGAATGAGCATGAATTTTTGATTGAACGTTTATGTAATTGCTGATTGACTGGAGTTGGGTGATTAATTGGTTGTAGGAATTGGTTGACATTAAACCTGGTCAATGCTTTAAAAAGAGTGATGTTTTGCACGGATGGTTAATTTAATTTAACTAAGTTATTGAAATTATATCTGTGTTGATATATAACTTATGAGTGAAGTTTGTCTGATTACTTGAGGGCAAGCAATTAATTAAGTTTGGGGTATTTTGTTAGCTATAAATTATGACTATTTTTAATGGCCTAGTTTTTATAATATTTGAGTTGAAGGCTGGATATTAGTGCATGGTAATGGGCCAAATGAGTGCCAATCAGCCCAAAGGTAAAAAAAGAGAGAAAGAGGTAATTTGATGATTTACTATTCTCTTTTATTATTTTTACTGCAGTTTGAAAGCAAGATCAACTCTTTGAAAGCAAGATCAAATCTGAACCATTGGATGGACAAAGAGATGGATGGACAGCAATGCATTTTGAGGCAGCTTTTTAGTTTTTAGTTAAATAGGAGTCTGAGTCATTAAGGGTCAGACACAGTTCTTTAGTTTCAGTTTTAGTTTTGAATCTTTGTAATTTCGTTCTTTAAATCTGAGTGTTGAGAAATTCTTTGAAAGCTGGATGCTAATTCTTCAATTCTTGTACTCGAAGTGCATTGACAACTCACCTTCAAGGAAGAGAACCATGGATCTGCATATGAGCTACTGTTTTCACACTTCTGCAAGTTTTCTTCCTAGCTCTAGTTTTGGATCTTTGACTCTTGAAGAACCGGTTTGTAACTTGACTTGAGTTTTCTTTAATGAATGTTTGTAATGCTTGTTTCTTTACTTTTAGAATTGTAATATTTTTGAATATGAGTTTCTAATCTTTTCCTTTTTGGGATTCACGATGATTGGGTGATCTCTATTTTTTTGAATACTGTGATGGCTTGCTTTAGTTTCATTTGATTAGCAAGATTTTGATTTTAAGTCCAAGTACACCATGAGAATGGATCTTGGAGTATTTTTGCATAACTATGATTGGGAAATCAGGTTATGTCTCTTGTTAATTGAACCCTTGAGGTTAGGGATAACCCAAGGAGGTCTTTGATACAATTTTTAAAGATTTAGAAGACTTTGGGAAAAGATCCTTCTAAAGATTAAAATCTGAAACTGGGAAGTTTCAGATAAAATAGCCATAGTAATTCGAATTCTGATACTAAAGTGTCGTAGCAGTTATCAAACGCAGGAATGCGAAATTTTTCCTTCATCCATGATTCAAGAATTCCAGAACCTTATAATTGTTACATTTGTGATTAGATATCTCTCTGTTAAATTTTGTTTAATACAAATCTGATAAGTACCTTGTTTCATTTAGTCTTTTCTTAGTTTTAAAAGATTGATTACTTAAATTCAAGAAATTAGAAATAGTAATTAAAAAAAGAAAACTAAACAAACTGAACTCTTTCTTTTGAGAAAAATATTAACCAACAATTAGCTTCTAGAGTGCATATGATTAAACTGAAAAGGTTAGAATTAGATAAATTTGTTGTAAGAGCGCAATTCAGTAAGGTGGTGGTCTAAATGGACGATAATAGTATATGAATATGATCAATATAGAAATGTTATAATTAGATATGAAGAGCACTCGAGCATCATAATGCAAAGAACAATTTTGAATGATCAAAATATTCTCTCTCTCTTTTTTGGATTACTGAATGATCAAAATATTCAACATGTTAGAAAAGGGCTCAGCACAACAATTATTGTCACTTGCAGTAAAAATGACATGGGTAAGTTACAAACAATATATATAATAATAAGGAACATGATAATAAAGACATGCTCAGCACTACCTTTAAAAAGAGTTTAAACTCTTAATCCTGGATTCGTCCCGAATTGGATTAGTTGCGAAGCAATGAACTGATTGGAATATTTTCAAAAAAAAAATTAGTTAAGGAAGAAGAGGAATAATAGTTTTTTTATTTTTTTATTTTTTCTAAAAGTTCAAACGTAAGATAATTTGGAAGAGTAACTTCTCTTTCCGAAAAGAATACTATTTACTTTCGCTAGAAAGAAGAATGTTGCAAAAATATATGAAGAAATTATTAATTTACTTTAATTATTTAAATAAAGGGAAGTAATTTTTTTATGTTGTAGAAAAATAGTTATATCAGAAACAGAATTACAAGTGAGATTCACAAATAAAAAAGAGGAAAAAAATAGAGATGAGATCTATCCTTTTTTATGTATGTAGAAAATTTCCTTCTTTTATATAACATGAGCTAAATATAATCCTTAAATAAAATGATGAATTGAAAGTCCATTTATGGTTCTCCAAGAATAAAAAACGTGCCCTCTTCAATTGACAACGCTTTGTTGTTTTTTTTTTTTCAGTATTTCCATCACAAGATATATTTTTTACAATATTCTCTTCTTATTAAAAAATATGTTTATGCAGTTACAATATTCTCTTAAAATATATTTTTCAATATTAAAACACATTTTATACTTATAGATAATTAAAAAATAGTTTACCAAAAAAATAATAATAATGGCTTTTATATTATTTTTTAATTTGTACTCAACATTATTTTATAGCACCGATACCGACACTTCGACACTTTAATTCTAAAAAAAATTAGATTTCGATACGTTAGGACACGTTTTGATATTGAATAAATGTTGCGTATATTATATTTGATATTCAATAATTTAACAAAAAAATAAAGCTAAATTTATAATACTTATTAATTTTGCATAGAAATATAAGATATCATAAATATTTATATTAAATTTAATAAAATGATAATAATAATCCAACGAATCTAATAGTTAGAAATAAAAATGTAACGCAACGTAATCTTTAAATCATTTTTTAAGTTTCTACAATGCGCGTTGAAATGTCGAAGAGTGCCAGAGTGTCAGATAATGTCAAAAAATATAAGACACAAAACGAGATTTTTGAAGTATCACTAATTATATATTATGTCATCCAAAACATGCCTAAGTGTAATTATGTAGAGAATGCGATGGATAAAGTTTCTATGCGACTATGGGTGTTGAGTAATTGCACAAAAGGAACAATAAAGTACACGGGAATTAATTACTGAACAAATCTTTATATCATTAAAAATTTAATCATTAATGCATGCCATTTAAATTTTGTAATATTTATAAGAAATAATATAATTTAATCATAATATCTTTTATGCTATTCATTAATATATATTATATATAAATATAATACAATATAAGTAATGGGATAATAAAAGAATAAAAGTTATTTATATTTAATTTTTTCTTTTATTGTGATCAAAGTCTGTATTATTTGAATTAAATATTTACATATTATTTATTGAAATAATATATATATACAAAGTTTGTTTTTTCTGCGATCAATGTAGATAAGTTATCTACATTAAATCAAGACGATGTCATTTTGGGATGAAAATCAAGGTATTTTGTAATTATAATCTATTTTAAAGTTATAATAATTTTTCTCATTATAATTTTTTAATTTATCAATCCAAAACAATATCATTTTAGAAGTGAAAATAAGTAACTTATCTGCCTTCAAAGTAGAAACATGAAACATTAAAGTCATATATATATATATATATATATATATATATATATATATATATATATATATATATATATGGTTCATTTTATTACGGATAAGTTATATATATGGTTGATTTTATTACGGATAAGTTATCTTAAGAAATCAAACATGTTAAATTGTTAAGGGAGTGGTAGCATCCACGTTAATAATTACGCGCCTCCACGTATCCTATTGTGCACCGTTTGATCGAATACTCAAATGACCCCACACACTTTAACAGTTGCGTCATCATGAATGACTCTACCAGCTCAACCACGATGCTGGAGAGCTATCTCAATTGATTCTCCGAACACCCACTGAGAAAAAGCAGCGATTTTTGCGAAGAAGAAGAAGAATCAGGAAGAGGGTCACGGAGAAGAAATGGGTGGTTGTGGGTCCAAGCCCAAGGTCTCCGAGGACCTAACAACGAAGAAGAAGAATCATCGCAGGAGAAGAAGAAGAATCCTGCGCAGACGCGTTTCTTCTCGCAAGATCGAAGCCAACATCAGTCACTCTAATCCTGCTTTATCTTCTAATCGTGCTTCAGGTACTTACTTGTACTTGAGATTTTTTGTTTTTGGTTGATTGATGATAACCTCTATTTTTTTTTTTCAGTTTTTTTTTTGTTTTTTAATTGTTGTACTTTTATTATAAAAAAAAAATTGAATGCTTCAGTTTAATGAATGCTATTATTGGTTTGTACTTTCTCTGAGTTCAAATTTATGGGTTTTTTTTTTTTTTGGTTAAAATTTAATGCCATTTTCTCTGAGTTGAAATTTGTGAATATTTTTTTTGGGGGGTTAAAATTTAATTCTCTTTGGATTGACATTGAATTGAGGCTCCTTCTTTACTTTTCTGTTTATAGATGTTGCTTGGTTTGATTCGACTTCAGCGTTGGACTCGGAATGTGATGACGATTTTTATAGCGTCTACGATGGTATGTGGATTTTTTTTTCTTTTTCTTTTTTAATTTTGAGTATCAAATTAGCATTTTAATTTATTTTTCTTGCCAGCATGGTTATGTGTTTGTTGATCACCGACAACAGAAACTAATGGTGCACCCTTGTAATATTTGTTGTAGCAATTCTTCTTTGAAGATTGCTAAGAATCAAGCCACTATGATTGGTCTAGTGGTGAAGGGTTTGGGTAGTTTGTATTAGATCATTTATTCAATTCTTATCATTGTATTAAAAAAAAAAAAGATTGCTAAGAATCAAGCCAAACCAAAAGATTCTACATTGAAATCTGATAGCCCTCAAACTGAGTTAAACTTTGTTTCAACAGGAGAAGTGTTTACTGGTCATGCAGATGAAATTGGAGAGGACAGAAAACTGGCCCCAGATCATTGGGGGATTCTGCCAAACACCTGCTTGCCTTGCCTTTCTTCTAGTGCCCTCGCTATTGAGAAAAGAAGGCCATCAAGTCCTGATACCGCAAGTTCACGGAGGAAGTCGCTTTCTAAACTCTCCTTCAAATGCAGGGAAGGGTCTTCTGATATGACATTAAGTGAGTGTTCTCAATATTTTTTGCCTGCAATAATTGCTTTCTGTTTTTGTTCTTTTTGTATTTTCCAGTTTTATGTGAGTGGAATAATTAGAATGACTGTGAAAGTGGAGATACCGTGTTTGCTTATAATTGAGCTTCTTTTAATTCTCTGCTGTGCTGACAACAAAGTAAAAATGAAGAAAGAAATGAAAGGCATCAGTTACTTTTATTAGCTCTTCCTGTTCAGCTTGCTGTATCATGCACTTTCTAGATTTTAGATACCCTGGGGCAGTGGTAAATCTACTTCTTTGTGACCAAAAGGTCATGGGTTCAAACCCGGGATACAGTCTCTTTGCAAATATGCAAGAATAAAGCTGCATATAAGGATTGCTCTCACTCTTTCTAGTTAGGGTTTAATGGGAAGTGGTTTTGGAGTGGTTTGCTACTAGTTCTTTTTATGGTTTTTCTTGTTAATAATTCATGGCTTCTCTTTTGTTTCAGATTCCCCAAAGGCATTTAAACAAAAACCATTAGCAGGTTCGTCGATTCCATATTGTCCAATAGATAAGCAAACCCCTGGTTCTTGGTCACCAATTGAGCCAAGTTCCTTCAGAGTCAGAGGAAAAAACTACTTAAGGTAGGCACCAAATGCTTATTTTGGACTAGACTTTCTTTCGGTGATTTAACCTGTGGTTAGGGATGACCCTCATGTGGAGGACATTATCGCTAAACAATCAAGCATTGTTCCATTCTTTATAGTTTTATAATCAATTTGTTGTATGGTTGGTAGGGATAAGAAGAAAGAATTTTCTTCAAGCAGTGCTGCTTTCTATCCTCTTGGTGCTGACCTCTTTGTGTCTCCTCGGAAAATTGATCATATTGCTCGTTTTCTTCAAATTCCTGCAATAAATATTCCTGGGGATGTTCCTTCTATTCTTGTTGTAAATATTCAGGTAGCTGTATTTTTTTCCTGTTTAAATTTAATTTGAACTGAGAATTTCTCGTCCTTATTACTGAGGTGCAAAATTTATGTTGGACCCCCGAAGTACAGAGCTTTTTCCCATTCTGAATATGGGTGGCAATATTATTTATAATCTCTATATATGTGCTGAAAATGTAAAGCGTACACATTCATCACAATGTGGACTTTTTTTCATGAAGATTGTGACATATTTATGCTTGTTTCAAATGCAGATACCATTGTATCCTGCCACTATTTTCCAAAGTGAAAATGATGGTCAAGGAATGAATGTGGTTTTGTACTTCAAATTATCTGAAAAATATTCTAAAGACCTTCCAGACCAATTCCGAGAAAATATCAGTGTAAGGGGGATATGCGCTCTTGCCTTTTTTACTCTATCATTCTGCCTCATGTTACAGAGAAGATTTTTCCTCTGTAACTTTTTGTTTTAGTCTTTAGAGACACTTCATTAACAAGTTGTGTGCCTGTTCTTTTGATCCCTGACAGAAATTGATTAACGATGAAGTGGAGAGGGTTAAAGGCTTCCCTCTAGATTCAATTGCACCCTTTAGGGAGAGATTAAAAATTTTAGGTAGAGTGGCAAATGTGGAGAATCTTTCTTTAGGCGCTGCTGAAAAGAAGCTTATGAATGCTTACAATGAAAAACCTGTTCTCACACGTCCTCAACATGAGTTTTACTTGGTAAATACACTTCATATTCTAGTTACAGATTTAATTCTTCAATAAATTCTTTGTGGGCCATTTAATCTTGCATTAAAGCAACCATTTCTGTTTCCTGATGCTATTTCTTTCACAGGGAGAAAACTATCTTGAGATAGATTTGGACGTACACAGATTTAGCTATATTGCTAGAAAAGGATTCGAAGGCTTCATCGAAAGGCTGAAGCTATGTAACCTTGATTTTGGTCTGACGATTCAGGTAATCTTCTTATCATTTTATTTGCAACATAAACTTTCATTTGTAATAACACTGTTAAACTTAACTGCTCCGTGTATATTCTCTATAGCTCTCTTAAATTTAGTTTATTATAAGAAGTTTCAAGTCCCGGTATATGATATATATCTATTTCCTTCTTGATTTAGGGAAACAAGGCAGAAGACTTGCCAGAACATGTATTATGTGCAATTCGGCTGAACAAAATTGACTATAGCAATTTCAACCAGATTGGCTTTTAAGTCAAAGCTTCAACATAAAAAGAGTTTTAACCTTAATATATTTCATAATGATTACAACTGTGTTATTCATATATGTTGTTTTGAAATGAGATATTATCGCAAACCGCGATGTATGAAGTTCTTGACTCATTGACATAAAGGTTGTAGAATGTATAGTAATGGGGATTAATCAAGATTGGAAATAATCAATGAGTAATTTGTCTTTACCAAAGATACAAGTAGGTGTGGATTGATTACAAGACCAGCTCACACACGAGATTTTTGTGTTAAGGTTGACCCACATTTATAATTGTGTTGTATTTGTATTGATAAAAATAAAATGAAAAAATTCTTGTCTTACTCGTGTTGACAGAAAGCCGACACGAAAAAATTTATATTGTGTTACATGTCAAATCACAAATGTGACATTGATCTGCATTTTTGTAGTTAATTACATTTTGACTAGCTGATCATTTGTGCGAAGTCATTGTTTAATTATTATTGATAATTGGTTAAAGCAACATTAAATATATAGGTTATTGATGTTATGTTGTGTTAATCCGTCAGTATTGAGAATAAATAGATTTGATATTGGTAGGTTGTTCGTGTCATGTTAATTCACATAATAAGTAGGTTTTGTTCATGTTGAAAGTTTGGACAAGAATCTTTATTTGTGTTGTGTTTTGGTTAAGTATATTTATATTCGTATCCAATTTTGACCAAACACGAACACAATCTGGTGAAACCAATTGCTACCCTACCCTAGATAAAATCTGTCACCTAAACATAGTTTTCACGTATTATATTATGAATTGAGGTCATGTCACCTATCATAGTATGAATTGATGTCATTGCATATCTTTCTAGAGTATATGGACAACATGAATAATAGGACAAAAAAAGCTACAGAATTACCTATATAACAGTGAGTAAATATTTATCGTGAAAGCTTACAAGATGAGCTCAATTTTAGGATTGAACAGTTTGTAAAGGGAGTAGATTTTAGAACCTAACTAATTTCTACATGTCGATTTATAAACACGTTCGTAAATTATGAGTGTGAAATGTCCCATCTGAATCTCTCTCTTCTAATCAAACAAAGTTGCAAACGGTTAATAAATGATGGCAACAATTCAAAGGATCGTTACAAGAATGGTTTAATTAATTTGAAAGAGAATTTAAAGATAAAATGAACTGTTGATTTTTGTAATGAATTCCTTCGAAAATCAAAATTAATTGTATATAATAATCTCAATCATTTAATAATTTTAAGGGAAACGGAAAGCACACTTTACGATTTAGAAATTTAAACTGGAGGCAAGTGTGACATGTAATTTCAATCATGGTATATAAATTCATGTAATTATGGTTTATAATTTCAAACAAGCCTGATACACTCTATCCTCGTTTTCATTTACTTCCCCCTCCTTCTCTATGAGACCTTTTGTGAGTTTTTTAAGTACTGACCTTGATGAGTCCTCCCTTAAAAAACTAAAATTGTGAAGTAACTTCTACAATATCTATAGAGAGGAGCGTTATTCTTATAACCTAAAAGTTTTACAACCTCTTGTAATTTATTTATTTTATTGTTGATTTCCATCAATCGATCAGTAATAATTTATTGAAAATTAATTATTAATGATAATATGACTCAATAAATCATAACCGTTAAATTGACGAAAATCAATAATAAAAAAAAAGTTATAAAAATAACGCTACTCATTCATAAAATAAGCCATGAAAAATTAGCTTGTTTAAGTCCCTTGCTATCATCCTTATTTTATGCCCCCACAGGCACACCAACATCTCATTTATTCTTTTGTGCATTGCTCCGAGTTTATTTATTTATTTATTATTATTTATTAGTTTATTTTATTGATTATTCGACTAGTCCAATTCAGGACCAATAGAATTATATCGGTGGCAAAACTCTTTAACACAGATATGTTATCAGGAAACCGAATTTGAAACTACTGATTAAGCTGGAACAATCCATTACCAATTGATAGTGGTGATGATCGAGTTTTTTTTTTTTAGGGGTTTAATATTTGCATTTTTCACATTTTTGCTTATTTTCTTTTGTATAATTGAACATTCTCTCTTGATGAAACTAGCAAAAAACATAAGCAGAACAACAATATGATCATTGAAGAACCTTTGTTTCTATCAAAAACAACGAAAAGAAAAGTTCATTGACAAAAGAGGAAGAATGGATGACATATTTGCATAATAACATGAAGAAAATAACTCTTAATCAATCACGAATTGTTGGAGAACTCATACATCGCCCAAAAATGGAAGAGAAAAAACTTCTGTGTACCTTATTTTCAGATTTAGATAAAGAAGATGAACTGAGAGGACCTGAATGAGGTGCAAATTCATCATCATGCAACCTTCTTCTTCCTTGTATGTTTCTTTCCATTTGTGACACATTCTCTTCCTTGTTTTTGTTCATCCCAGAAGATGCTTTTGGTTCTATGAATTGCATTTGATCTTGCCATATCCTACCAGAAGATCCTTGTCTTCTAAATGAAGATGTTGATCTCTGCAACGTATTCATGATGTGTTAGAATTTCCTCTGTTGTATGCTTTTCTTTTGATCTGTTTATGAAACACTTTTTTCTCTCAATAATTCTTTTTAACTGATCAAAAAACTGCTTTTGATTTAGAGAGAGAAGATTACATAAGTTGTGGACAAAGCATTTTTGTTTGGTTGTAATAAGGATATGGTTATGATTCATTTAGGTTGTAAATGCAAATATAGTAAATAGCCTTCTATATTTATGTCTTATCCATACAATTTTGACTAATTCATTCCTGTCAATTGCTATATCTGGAATCTGACAAGTAACAAGTGTTGTTATCTACTCCTTTGGCGAAGCTATATTTCAGGGATATAATAATACAGCAATTGTTGGTCTGTTACTTATTTTCAGGTCTCCTTTTTCATGATTTGTGTTTCCATTCTTTTTTTTGTTTGACTAAATATAGATTTTAACAATCTATAATAAATCAATATAAACTTTGGGGAAGGATATTGTAACAACCAAGTTGTGTTACTACCAAGTTACTACCAATCAATCTCACCGTTAGATCGATTATGTTGATCCAACGGTTATATTTATTTTCATCTTTGTATGGTCATGATTTCTTAAATTTAATACTTTATATTTATTTCCACCTTTGTATGGTTATGATTTTTCATATTTAATGCTTTCACTTTAAATATGGGGAATCATAACCATACAAAGATGGAAATAAATATAACCGTTGGATCAACATAATCGATCTAACGGTGAGATTGATTGGTAGTAACACAACTTGGTTGTTACAATATCCTTCCCCATAAACTTTAGCAAACATTTATAATTTTATGTACTCTAAAACGAAGTCGTTCGGGGGATTAGGGAAAAAAATGTAGGGTATCTTGAAAATTTTACTTTCTTCTAGTGTCATGAATTTTATTAAAATGTGTTCCTATTGACGTCGTTTTGGAGTTGTAAGAGATAATTTTATCACATGTTACACCAGAAACGTTAATCCCATATAAGAAACATATTTTTTAATGATCTTTAATAGAAGATATTTCATACAAATATTTATTCATACATATTAAGGATTTTTTTGTTGTGTAGGAGGTCCTAAGACTAGTAAGGAGGCCAAGGAAGAAAAATTAAGTGCAAATAATAAAGGAATCCTTGTGAAGAGGATATATCATAATAAAAATCACAACTAAGCAAACAATGTGAAACAAGCAAACAATAATAAAATAACTGGGTCTAATGTGAAAGTCTTGTATTTAATTATCCTACTAATAATTAATAAACAGCAAACAAAGCAAAACAAGAACTTAATAATCAAAAGAAGCATCCAAAAGTTCAGGGAATGTTGCCCTTATCTCACTATCCCTATCCAAAATACCATCCACGAAGGAATTCCCTGAAGCTGAATGACCTTCACACTGATTGTTAATTTGATCTCCCATGCTTGTATCACAAGCTACATCCCCAGAACACTCACTTGCACCTCCTTGCTTGTCATGGCCATTGCTTTTGTTATTATTGGAAAGTTCAACTTCACTTAGCATCAGACCTGAGGGTTTCAATGATGACATAACCTTGTGCAGGTCACACTGTTGAAGCTGTTGAAACTCTGACCACATAAAAGGGTCACTGTGGAGAAACTCACTCCAATCAAAGGAGGAACAAGGAGGGGTAATTTGAGCCTGAGAAGTGTTACAAGAATAGGACTGTGGTGAGCTTAATCCTGTGAAATTAGAGGAAGATGAGGAAGAGCTTGAGGATGCAGATTCACTAAAGAAATGTGGTTGGACATTCTCTGGACTTATGACTTGGTACTGAACCTGATGTTCCCATGAGTGAACTTGATCCTCTTGTGTGTGCTCCACCATTGGATTCTTCTTGGCACCTGCATTGGCCATTCCTGATGAGTACTGGGATGCACTTGGTTCAGTTCTGGTTGGTAGCACGTTGCTCATCAAGTCCTTGTTGACAAAACTCATTTGGTTGGTGCTTGGAAGTCCACTTATGCTTCCCAAGTCAGAGAGGACCTGTGACACTGGCTTATGGGTCACTGGATCAATTCCCATCTTCATAAGCTTCTTCCTCAGCTTTGTGTTCCAGTAGTTCTTGACATCGTTGTCTGTTCTCCCAGGTAGTCTTTTAGCAATTAAAGACCATCTGCATTAAAAAAGCAATGTTTGTACTTTGTAATGAGATCACACAAATAAAGTGATGATGAGATTTTTATCTTTAAAAAAAAAAGAAATAAAAGGAAAGGAGAGAAAAAAGGGTTTATAGTTGGCACGTTAGTAATGCATGCCAAAGTTTATGGTTAGTTCATTCTCTCAATAAACCTAAACAATACAAGCTATATTGTTCTCATGTCATAAACCAACAACTGCATAACGTTTTGTCCCGCTAATTTTGATTATTTTTCTGAGACTAATAGCTATATTACAAAATAGAATTTAGAAAGTTGCACCTTATGTTGTTATCAGAAGGCTTGGAATAAATTATAAGCACTTCAGAAACTAAATCACCTTTCCAAAATGAAGCAAATAGGTGAATGGAATATGATGTAGTTAAAACATAAGAATATGATGTAAGATTCTTATGCAGCAGGTTTATTACACTGAAAGATTTATATTTTACTTTAAAGCCAATCTAAATAAGTAGTTTTAATTTGGGTCGCATTTAATATTCACTTAATACATTACAATAAGGCTACACAAGAATTTTTCCAAATAAAAAGAGTAGAACATACCTGCTTCCTATGGCTTCATGAAGGTTAATAATGAACTCTTCTTCTTGGGGAGTGAAATTGTCATGCTTGAGGTCAGGTCTTAGGTAGTTGGTCCATCTTAACCTGCAGCTCTTACCACACCTGTTCAGCCCTGCAATAAAGTTCAAGAAAAAGAGTACACTTACATCATATGAAATTATGTCTCTTAATTTCCCATTTCACTATTTCAGGTGGAAGGGATTGAGAAAACCTGCTTTCTTTGGAACCAATGTCCAATTTCCAATTCCATGATTGGATACATAGGCAAGTATTTTAGCATCTTCCTCAGGAGTCCAAAGACCCCTTTTCACATTGGATTTGTCACAGCAAGGAGGTCTTCCCATTTTTGAATGAGAGAAAGAGAAAAAATGCAGATATGTATGGGAAGGACTGAGTGAATTATGTAATGGTGATGCAATATGCATTGAAGGGCAATTATAAAGTGGTGAAAGGGACTAACGTTTAAGATATGAAGAGGCAAGAAAAGCATGCAATTTTTGGCTCTAAATAACAACAATTGCATGATAATATTCATCTTTTTGTAAACAAAATAAAAAACCAAAACCATTTGTATGACATCAGAAACATTATGCAAGTGCCTTCCATTCCTTCTCTCTCTCTCTCTCTCTCTCTCTCTCTCTCATGCTTGGCTCCCAAAGCAATATCTATTTCAGGTACAATTCGAATGACCTATTTGGTTAAAACAGACTTAGTTAACTGATTCTTATACCTTCGAATGACATGCAATCAAAATTCTTTTATCTTATGTTCCTTGGCTGATAAGCCTCTCTTCATTAGTACAATGCCAACTGCCAACAGAACATATGCCTTCGGATACAACAAAATAACAAAGAAAACGTCCATATACATAGATCCTTGTCACAAGTTAGATTCATACTGAAGAGCTTGTGTAAGCATTCTATCACTAATTTATGAAAAATGAATCTTTGTATCTTACACTATTTCCTTACATTTCTTTTTCTCCTTTTTTTCTTTTTTAGGCAAAGGAAAGTTGTCCCATATAGCCTATGTAGCACCGATACGACACGCGACACGTGACACGACACGACACTCCGACACGTCAATCCTAAAAAAATATGGATTTCGACACGTTAAGACACATTTTAATATTAAATAATATTTTTAATTTATATAGCGTATATTTCATTTAATATTCAATAATTTAACAAAAAAATAAAACTAAATTAATAATACTCATCAACACCTTATAAAGGTGGAAGCTTTAATAAAAAAACAGGAACTGGGATGAGAGAGAGATAATATCAGATAGAGAGATCAAATCAAATTAGAGAGAGATCAGAGAAAAGGAGATACAGCAAGAGTGTAATAGGAATTGACAACAGATGATCTCTTAAGGGGAAAAAGGCAAAAAAAATAAAATTGATATGATCAGGTGGAAGCTTTATTAATATATTTCAATTTTTTAAAAAATAATTTTTATTTCAATTTTTAAAAAAATAATTTTTTTTTACGAAAATGTCATTTGACCGTGTCAGAACGTGTCGGCTTGTGGGACACGACACTCCCTGTTTTTTGGAGTGTCTGTGCATCCTTGCATATAGCTTATAGTGGTACTCACACAACAATATATATCCATTGATAAGGGGGAAAAATGAAATTAAACCCAACACCTTTTGTCAACCTTGTTTAATCCTACCACCAGCTTTTGTTTACATCACTTTCTTGCACTCATGGGAGGCAACGTGTCTAAAACTAACCCCAATCCCTTTAGAGGGATTAAATTGGTGTCAGTTCTACATGGGAATAATAGTGTGCAAAAACAACGCGACCCATCACAACGTGTTATGTAATATAGCAAGTTATAAGCTTAGAATAACGATCCCATTTTTATTTTTTCAAGAGATGTGCCTACAACTTCATTCTACCTAGCGAGTATAATATTTTATGATTAATTTATTATTATAGCTTTACTGATTCATCCGCGGAAAATGAAACAGCATATTGAAATATTCTTTCACTACCATTTATAGGAACACCCCAAGAATTGGAAGTGAGAGGATAGTGATGAATGATCCATTACTCGTCTTCGTCCAACCCAGAAAAAAAGAACGAGAAAGTAGAGGAATCAAAGTGAAAGCATCAGACACTCTAGGTGGTGTTTGGTTGCGAGCTTTTCACCGGATATCTATGTTTCTGAAATATGACTTTTAGAAACATCATGTTTGTTTCAACGCATTTTCACCAAAAACCCATCTATCCAATTTGTCTGGATTTATGAAAAATATAGATATCCGCACTGTTTAGAAACCCAATTTGAAGGTGGAATTTTTCGGAAAATCGGTTATCTGACTTTTAATGCACGGTTGATTTCATAAAGTTACCTAATTTTCTCAGTAAAGTTTTTCCCTACCAAACAACTTTTTTTTACATTTTTCTACCTATCTCACTTTATCTATCTTTCCAATCATTTCTCTGTCTATTACATTTCCCTACAAAACACCCCCATGCAAAGGATGTCAAGCAATCCAAAAACCCTCTTAATAAAGCAGGCCTCACCACTTATCTATCTGGCCAAAAAAGGTGGTACATCCAGTTCTCATCTTTGATATATGGGATATGGCTAAAATTCTTGTGTTTTCACCCTTCAAAAGCAACAAAACCAATAAACAGGTATCAGAAACTGCTATGCAAGTTACTGCAGGAGTTCCATGTTACAGTTTAGTAATAATGAATGTTGTTATATACAATATATTTGACAATGTATTATAATTCTACACGCATTTCAGAGCAGAGAAAATGTAATAGCCTCCCTAGGACGAACACATATTGCAACTCTTCATACAGTTTCCTTTGACTTCTTCATTACCAACCATATAAAGTGGGTTCTTCTCACATTCACCTACTTTAGCCCACCTAGAGCAATTTTCATTCTCATCAACACATTCTCCACTATCTACTCGCGTGAGTGGTTTGTTAAAGTCACTCACGTGAATCCACTTAGTTGCAGACCACTTCTCACCCTCAATGACAGGGCAGCTTCCATGCAAGCTGGCAGTATCTGTAGTTGCATCTAGATGAAGACTAAAGAACAGCAAGGCATCACCCTTCTCAGGTTTTACTGAAATGATAGAAACTGAAAGAGTTAGAATTTAGATCCTATGCCAAAAAAATATGGCAGTAGAGGTGACAGTTAGATTATATAAGCAGATAAGTCAAAAAACCCAAGAGATTTTAATAATTGTAACAACAGTAAGACATCAAAGAGAAGGTCGGTTTGGTTCATTTCCTACGTGACAAGTCATCGAATGCTTATTGTTTCATAAGATCAATATTGACAATCACATTACAAAATCCTTTTGGCAAAACAAAGGTGTTCAACAGAGCAACACATAACTACAATGATTTCAACCAACTTAGTAATACCAAATGAGGCAGCTAAGAACCAAACCATGTTACAAAAAATGGTAAAATAGTCATTTACCCCCACTCATTTAAATTTTGGCAAAGAAAGGACCCAAATGAGTTTTAGATAGGGAAGGAGGAAAAGAAAAAATAGAGACTGTATTGAACCATATAAGATTCAAAAATACAATACAAAATAGCTAGAAATATATGTATACTAATAATTAAGTCAAATACAAGCTAAGTATTACTAGAAAGAACATAAGCCCACTAATAAATAAGACTACGTCCCTAATTAAAGAATTAAATCAGTAATATTAAAATTAGGAAACAAATCAAACAATGACTAAGACTGCTTCCTCAATTAGATAACTAATTGATTTCACAATATCTTCTATAGATCTTTTGAAATATTCTGAAATCTGAAGATATTCTAACATACAATAAAAATATTATACTATGCATAAAATGATGATTTTTTCATATTGATATAACATGTTGGTGTGAAGAATCAATTCAATCCAAAAGCTTAAGTTGTTGAGTGAAAGGTCATATTGATGATTGTTATATACTATATCTCTACCACACCTTTGCACGCAAGAGCCCTTGGCCTTGATGTGTGCATAGCGCACAGGCTTATTTTATTTTTGGTTTATGTTGCGCTGATTTTTAGCATACTTTTATTTTTATTTTTATTAAAAAAAGGGGGCAGTGAGGATCGATGATACCATGTAAAGAACTAATTCAACCCAAAAGCTTAAGTTATTAAGTAACTGTCACATTAACAGTTTTTATATATTATATCTCTAACGGAAATATATATTGCAAAACATCCTTTGGTTTTGGTTTCCAACTTCTAAAATTTATGACTTGGCTATGCATAATGTCAAAATTTATACAATATGTCTGAATCTCAAGTCAGACCAATCTTCACTCGGAAATTAATCAGGCTCAGGACTGGGTCCAAAGAATTAGCCTAATTAAAATACAGGAGTAATCAGACACAGTCCAAACAAGCCCATGAACACTCCAACATATTCTTGTAACATCCTCTTGCCTAAAAGAATAACACAGGACTATGCACACCACAATATTAAGCACTGGTAGCTTGAATGTATGTTCTCTCTGCTATATAGATCAAAATAAAGAATAATCTAAAGTTAACAAGTCAAACATCATGAAATTGATACCTGCATATCCTTTGTGAGCACATTCAGACCAGCTCTCATCTTTTGGCTGCGACAACTTTGACTGAAGAAGCAGACAAATTAATCATGATTTTATATTTCTTTTCTTTTTCTTTTTCTTTTTCTCTTTCTTTTGTGTGTGTGTGTGTGTTGGGGGGGAGGGGGGGTTAATTAAAAGGAAACAACATAGAATCAAAGACATGAGGAAGTCTTCACCTCAGAATTAGGAAAAATTGTTTCCCCACCCTTCTCAACATTAGACAAATACATTAATACAGTAGCAATCCGATGGCCACCCATAAGTTGATTGGCCTTGTCATGGAAGAAATCAAAATGTGGTTCATACTTCTGACCATGCTCATAGTGCAATACTTGCATAGACTCACCATTCTCTGATGCATTATAGGCAGATAATAAAATTAAAGTGAACAAAAACGAAAACTGAAATGGACCAAAGAATTATATTATCTACTTACCTACAGGAAGGAATGTCCATGTAGCAATTCTGGCTTCAATATCAGCAACTATTTCGTCCTTAAAGATTAAATAGATGAAAAAGGAACTAAACATTCAAATTCAATAATTAAAACCACAAATGTTAAACAGCATGTTTAGAGTAAAACTTCAGCTCATGAAAGCATACTTATTTGTCATGAGAATTTGTAGAGAAACTTTGCATAAATTTTCCTAACCTAGTTAGAGGAGCAGATTATTGTGAGGATATGTAAAAGTGGATTTTCTGATCTAGGATATCTTCAACCAACCAGCATATCCTTTGAGAGCACATTATAGAAGTCTTCCCAAAATAAATTTTATTATAACTAGGTTTTGATTGCTTAATGACACCCAAATAAATTTATTTATAATAAAATTTTGGATAGAGAAGGTAGAATAGAATGGCAGTTCACAAGACAACCCTAGACATCATTAAACATTTAAACAATATCTTTTCATTATTTTGTTCATCCATAACAGCAAATTTTTGCTTAGGGAACAGATGAGTGCAGAAAAATAATACTTATTTGAAAGCAATATATATTTTATTTACTCACAAGTCATTGTTCTAAGTGTTCAAATCTATATACTCGATAGCTACTCAAGAGTTATAGTTCTGTGTATTTGAAGGAAGGCCCTAGATACTAATGTAGTACCTTCCCAGATTATAAGTTTCAGCAAAGAAATTAAACTAGATGGTCCCCAATTCTTATACATCATTCCCAAGCCTGAAAGTAATACCTCGCCTATCTTATGTTTCTTTACCCTGTATTAAGCGCACCAAATCATCCAGACACTAAACAAATTTCTAGTACTTTTTTCAACATCAAGCATCACCGATAAACATGCCTATCCTCGGAAGATAACAAGAACCATATATTCCAATAAAAACACAAGCCAAAACTAAAAAAAAAATAAAAAATTGTCAACCATATTTCTCTTTATTCTAGATATTATAATTACATGAAGAACCTAAGAGTTTTGACATAGACATAAAGTAAATTTTCATTGATTATACCTGTGCCTTGTTAAGAAACATCCCAGAACTCGTTCTGACTTCACTCATTACACTTTTACCGGATTCATTATCCGCTACCATAGACTTCTCCAGCTTATCCTTAGCCTAATATCACAAAAATTCAGGCATTGAACACAATATACACACTATTAATTAACCCCCCCAAAAAAAAAATCTCAAACCCAAATCCAATGCTAATTATTATAATAAAATCCAAACCAGATTTATCATATGATCACATTCTTTCTCAGATAAAAATCCCTTGTATAGAAAAGCCCTGCACACCATAATTCACAAAAATTAAAAATTAAAAAAAAAATAAAATAAATCAAAGCAACCCTTTTGTCTAACACAGGAAAAGAACAATGAAAAGGGTTAAATTGTACCTGGGGCTCCACGAGAGTTGAGTGACCCGTGTGGGATCAAACTTCACTGAAGAGACACCTCTGTGTAATCTAAGCACCGATCCATGCCTGTGATACAAACACAAATTGAAAACACGAAAAAAAAATGAAAGGTCAGATTTTTTTGACATTTTCAGATATAAACAGAGAAACAGACAAATGGGTGTGTGGTATTTATATCAAATACTTGGTGGGCTTGTCTTCTTCTAAGCCGGGCAATCGAATTGAAGAAACAGAGAGATCAGCGAGAAAACAGAGGAAACAGAATAAAACTGGAACAAAATGGAAAGAAACCATGATGAAGAGGTTGGTGGGGTGTCACGAGAAGGGTGCAAAATGTAGTTAAAGAACTAACATAGAGATATAGAATGAGAGAACGTTGAAAAATGTGAATTGAGTGTGTATTCTGTTTTTCCTTGATTTTGTCGTTTCAGACAATTAATACAACAAGAAAGAAGCCCACAGGATTTGGCTTCTCTCCACTCTGTCGGTTTTATAACCATTGGCTCTTGCTCTTCCTTAATCCCACTTTCTCGAAGCTTCCTTTGCCAAAATCACAAGAAAAAATGAGCATAGTGATTTAATGGGAGTTATTGTTTGACTAGCAATATCGGAAAAATGTTTATTTTTTTAAATGACAGTTATTTTGGTTAAAAATATTGTTTTTATTTAATATTTAAATTAAAAAAAAATTATTTTTTCTCGTTATGATTTATGTTTCTCTCACCATAAAATAAAGTAATTCTAATTAAAATAACATAATTTTATTAAAAAAAGTGTTTGGCATTTTAAATGATATAAAATCATGTCATTTTAAGAGAGATGGACACAAAATAATAAATTTTTATTTAAAATTTAAATTAAAAAATCACTCATTTTTTTTCCCATAATTTTCAATTCTTGTGTTAATCTTTCTCTTAAAATGACATAATTTATGTCATTTAAAAGAACAAACATCAAACTCAATTTTATATCCTTTACAAAAAAACAAACATTAATCGCTAAGAATATTGTGATGGTTATATTTATTATCATTTTGGCTTACCACTCTTATTATCCTATTGATTATCGTCGGATTTAATTTGAAATCAAAGGTAATAAAAAATATTTCTATTATTCGTTAGTAAAATACATTCCCTAAATTAACTACTTTTGATTTCAAATTGATCTAATAATAATCAATTGGGTAGTAAGTAAAATCTCCTTAAGAATAATATTTCTGCTTTTTTTATACTTTTATAAAAGTGAATGAATTTTATTAATTTTAATGAGTTCGATCAGTTATTTTTTTCTTCTATATTTTCGTCTCATAATGAAATCTATAATGATATCTACTCACTTTTATGTGAGTGTATTAAAAAAAATCTTCAATAAAAATCGAATTTTTTTCCATTTGTATCTATTTTTGTCATGATAAATTTTAAATAAAGTCTCAGTTATTGAATGCTATCACTTAAGATACAAAATATTTTCATGATTTTATAGACACCAAATTTTTACATAAAAAAATCATGTGAAAAGTCACTAGGGTTAACCTAATGACGAGGGATGTAGGTAGGATGTAATAGGTTCTGTGTTCTAAATCTTAAATGTATCAAAAAACAAAATCATGTGAAAAAATCCATTCCATGTATGACACATTTTGAATAGAATGAAGAAAAATGACTAATACTAACATTAAAAATATGAAAAATGAAACAAAAAGATATGTTACACACTCTTGTCTTTTAGCCACGGCAAAGAAAACTCCTGTCAAAATTCATGCTATTTTTTTCTTGACTGTCGGTTTGGGATAAAAAAAAAAAATTATAATTGAGATTTGAGAGTACTAAATAAGGAGGTGTATTGAAGTTTCTCCCCCTTCCTTGCATTCTTTCATTCTAAAAAAACTTTCAGATGCTTATTTTATAAATCTTGTCATGTCATTCCCAATTATTTTATTATTCGTCATCAATCCAAATATATATGAGAAAGAAAAGAATATTTTACCATAAAAAAATAAAAAGTGTGTATCATTTTAAAGGATGTAAAGTTGTGTCATTTCAAATGAGAGAAAGAGATAGATAAAGAAGGAGAGAGAGTGAATAAAAAAATATAAAAAATGAGTCTCACATTTTTCTTTTTTGTGAGAATGAAAGGATATAAATTATATCATTTAAAAGGACAAACACTTAAAAAAAATGTAGGAAAGATAGGAGGAATTATACTTTCAAGTTTCAACCAAGCATCTAAATCTTTATTTTTATTTTTATTTTTGTCTTTCACTTTGAAATGCTAACTAATAAAAAAAATAATGTTTTTATTTTGATTAATTATCTTATTAATTCAATTTAATGTGCACTTGATTGTTATTAACACTCACTTGTTTTGAAACTCAAAGGTTAAAACAATGAAATACTTTGTTATTCTAAAAAAAAAAAAAAGAGTGCTCGAGGAAATGTTTTGTTATATTTATATCAAAAAAATATTTTTGCACTGCAAATAAGTTATCTGCATTTATTCTCAAAATAATGTTATTTTGGGATTGAAAGAATAAAAAATTATAATTATAAAGACTATAAAAATCTTGAAATAAATTAAAATTATAAAAACACTATGATTTTCACCCAATACGACGTCGTATTGGGCGTACTACAGATAACTTATGTCCAGTGACTGCAGAAAAAGCGAACCTTATTTATATTAATGGGTTTAATGTTCTTATATTGTAGGAGAAAATTTTATCTCCTACACACACAAAAATATTCGCATAAGTCCCACATACTTTTATGTATAAGTAGTAGATAAAATTATCTCCTATAACATTAAAAATATTATTCTGTTTATTAATTTATAAACATATAAAAAAACGTAATTAAGAGAATAATAAATGATTTTAATGAATAAAGAGATTTTATTATAAACTCTACTTATCAATTTTAAAGAATATATTGTTAAATAATTTATTTTAATATTTATTTTTAAATATACTTATTTTTTAAAATAGAGTTATAATGTTAACACAATTTTTTAATAATTCATATTATTAAATTGATAAGCAAAATACATAATATTACAATTTGTGAAAAATATTTATCCTTTTAGAGAACAGTTATTTTAATCAAAAATATTATTTTAATTTAATATTGAAATTAAAAAAACCCAACTTGTTTTCCCATAATTTTTGTTTTTTCACTATAAAATACAGTAATTTTGACTAAAATTATACAATTTTATATCTTTTAAAAAAACAAATACTAATTTCTTATAATTTATGTGTCTTAAATAATGTGTGTAAAATTAAAATAATAAAAATATTTCTAAATCTGTATTTTTTAATATATTTCCTTAAACTAATAAGAGTATGATGGATCCGGCTATTGGGCCCTACTGCCCCTACAGTACACATAAGGCTCAAACCATCCGCATCACTATAGGATGCAACTAGAAGAAAATATTTCAGTCTAGAATAGTAGAGGGATAGTTATTAAAACTGGACCCACCGGTCGGGTCAATTCGAAAACTGGTAAATCGGTTATATAATTCGTCCGGTTAAAGCAACGGAACAGTCATGTATCAGAACCGGTGTGACCCGGTCCAACCCAGTCGATTTTCATAAAAATCGTTGACCCGGCCCGGTCCTAAAAAAAAATTTGAATTTTTTTTTTCAAAAAAAAAATCATAATGAATATATTTAAATATTTGTTACTTATTGACTTACATAAGTTATGTACCTACAATACTAATATTATCTTAATTGTGCATTATGCACAAAAATTTGATTTGATTTATAGTTAGAGATGTCATTTTCTGAATTTAAAGCCCAGTATCACGATCATTATATTTTTATTTGATCCTTTATTGGATAATAGTATGTGATTTATTGTTTTTTATATTAAAATATTTGAAATTTTTATTATTTTTTTAGATATTTGAGTATATTTATAATTTTTTAATTAAATTATAAAATTGCATATAATTACCAGGTCATGCAGTTGAACCAGTGACCCACTGATTAAATCAGTGATCCACTAACCTAGTACATCGACCGAATCAATGACCGGGCCGGTTTTAATAACTAGGACCAATTTCCAATATGAATGTCTTGCAGCTAGTAACGATTTCGCTTTGCGGGATGCTGAAATACAACTTAAACCTTTTTCATGACTTGAATAAAGAAGAAAAGAAAATCGGGTATGTAATTAATGAGCTATTGACACATATTTGCATCTAATTCAAATCAGCTCTTAATTAGCTTGAACAAATCAAATCTCACGGCAAGAAAAATATTCATGAGAGATATAGAAGAAACGGAGTGGATCTTCTCGTGTTGGAAAGACATGATATGATCATGTGAGCAATCATAATCATATAATAATGATGTAAAAGATGATAGAGAGAAATTATTAAAATAAGTAATTACTAAATTATAACTTTTGATTCATTTTGTATGATTATAATTGTCCCACATAATTATGTCATGATTTTTTTAAACATAGATGATTCATTTCCATAAGAAACTAAAATCATATCTGAAAAATGCAATTCAATCCTAGCATAACTTGTATTATTGGAATTTCAACCTTTCTCAAAATCAACAACCACTACACAAAAAACATATTGGAGGGAAAAAATGTTGGACGAGCATCCAAATTAATGAAGAAGATTTTAGAAAAAAGAGATGAAGAGCTTTTTCCTTCTATAAAATAGGATGGAATTAGAAATAAAGAAAGAAAAAAATTAGTTGGTTAGAGAATTCCTCCATAGAGAAGTTATAAAATCTACAAAGTTCTTTAATGAGTATCTTTGTATTCTATCTTTGTGAGGGTGAAAAAAAATCTAAACATATAATAGTAATAATAATTAGCTAGAAGTTATACAAAAAAAATAAAATAATAATAATTAGCTAGAAAGAGAGCTTTCTCACCCTAAACCCCTTGTTCTCCCTTTCTTACATTCAGTTTATGTTTCATTTTATGTGTGTGTTTTGCCTCGTTTCAAAATCACATGCAACTCCATTAATTACTCTTTATGCATTCTAATTACTTTTACGTGTTATTTCTCAAATTTTGGTGCAATACAATAGAGTTACGATGAAGATGTTTAAATTATCTTATCTTCAGAATGTTAAAAATAACTTGAAATCACATAATTTAAAAAATAACAAAAACAGTGCATAAGGCAGCAGAATCGTATGAACTTGTAACCATAAAGTTTTAGATTTTGCAGTTTGATTTCTCACATCCTTTATCCAGAACATTAAAAAAGATTTTAACTTGTTGTAGAATCGACATTAATTATCTAGCAGGATAGCTAGTATTTGTATCTACGGAATTTATGGTAAAGATGACAGACAATAAGAAGTCATGCGGTGTACCTTAGGTCAAAGTCCGTTGGTATGAACAATAGATGTGTGTATGAGTCACCTGCGGTGGATAAGATGTGCTTTGAGCACAAGTTTGTAAG